GGAGGACAGGGAAGCCACATGTAGCTACCAAACTCCAGCAAATCATACATGCCCTTAAACCAGAAGGTGGTGAGATGTAAGATGGTTCTCTGGCAGGTCGGTCTTGGTTGTCTGATCAGGCTCAAAGAAAAAGTTTCAACCACAGAAATTGACAGTGTTGAAAATGGTGAGTGACAGACTGACCAGAGAGCATGGAAAATGAGTATTATCAAATGTTTTCATGCAGACTCACTCATCTTGCATTGATAAACATAGCTTATCGAAGGTTAATGCTTAACAAATGGCCTCGAGATAATTGAAAAAGTTTCTCCCCCTCCCTCACTTCCTACATAATTTATTAAATACTTTCCTGATTCTTCTAGAGAAGCACGGAAGTTCAGGTCTACCTTTGTTGGTGAAGCAGTATTAATCACTAAGCATATTCTGTAGCTGATCACTTCCATTATAAAGATAAAAATGTCACTCTTGTACTATGGATTCTTCAAACTAGAGCAGCTTTGATAGAACTCCCATGAATTGAAATTGTGGACGCAAAGACTCTGCTAAATAATTCCAAACCAACTGACCATCCTGCCATCTCAAATGGCAAACAATAATATACATTTCGGCACACTGGCAAATCACAACACTGACTCCTAAAAAGCCTTACTGAAAAGATCTTACAACTTGATCTATACAACCTTTGCCAAAAGCAACAAAACCAAGCTCTGGAAAGCAGTGTAAGTAACGTTCATAGACAGAACAGTTCAGATAAACTGATCCGTTTGATTGTTTCCTCTACAAAATTCTCTGAGAATAAGGAATCCCTGTTTGCTGAGAATTCAGCATTCTTGTTCGATCTCTTGTTCTGAGCGTCAAAGTAGTTGACAAGAGAGCTACACTTTCCTCTAGATATCAAAGATCACTGCTTCCATGTAATAACCAATTGCATTATTTGTGTTTGCTTAGCAATGTTGATAAACATAACTTTGTTTTCTTTTTCTTCCTTTTGTTTTCCTTTTATTCCTGTCTTTTTTTTTTTTGGTCTTTTCCCCCAAATACATGTATTTTTTATTTTTCTCCCTTTTACCTTATCTGATACGATTCATGATAAATTTGGGGTTTGTTTGGAGTTGACCTTCCAATCAGTCCAGAATCGTGACAGCTAACAAATCATAATTTTATATTACTTGCGATTTGGCCAGGTAATGAAAGACACATTACATTCTGAAAATAATATATTTACAGCCATGAAGCCTGAATAAAAGCCCAGAACCTTAATATCATAAGGGCTCAGAAAGCTTGTAAATTAAGAAGTGCAGTGGTACATAAAGAAATAATTGTTATAAAAGGAATGCGTTTGTTTTCAAAGGTTCTCCCCTGCCACTTTCTTAAAGATATGGTAAGAGAAAGAAAAATAATACCATAAACAAAAAAGTCACTGTATGTAAAACAATATAAAATAGCATCATAAAGTAGACATTAGAGATACCCTATAAATTTATCAGTTCACAAGGATGCTCATGAAAATAAAAGGAATTTTGTTATTATTACTTGCTACAAGTCACAGACTTGGACTCAGGAATGTCCTTGCTTATAATTATGTAAAATCTTAGTTACATGGTTTTATAAATATCTTTTCCTACAGTGATAGAACAGTTAGGAAACTGTTTTGTTCTGTTTGCCAGATTCTTTCTATTGCTCAAAGAATATGGAATTATTTTATCAATAGGACTTTACTCGCTATGCATTAAGTCAACAACCACGACTTTTGGGAACCGCAGTCTCTGTCCTGTAGGACTAAGTCTGCTACACAGGAGATAAGAGTGTAACACCACAACTGCAACCTGATAAACAGCATATACGAGAGCATTTGTTGTTAGTGATGATAAACTGCAGATATTTCATAGAGCTGAAGGGGAACAATTCTGGATACATGCTGGTCAGAAACTGCCTTTGTGACAAAATCAAGGTGGTCATCACCAGTAGCTCTGACATTCAAGTTCCATTAAAACCCAGCCTGCCAGATCTGCCACATCCCTGCATGGCTCCCTCTTAGCCCCATTGCCTCCAAGAGCCCGTGGCTCAGAGAAGCCTGTCCCACTGACCAGTGGCTCGTGCAATCCTACCGGTCAGAATTTCAAATTGCAGTTGGAAATCTGAAAGAAAGAACAACAAGAGAAACAGATTGGATGGCACAGAGTTTACTTGTTCTTCCCCTCTGTTAGTGGTAAATCTCTGCAAATCTACGTTAGCACATATTGGGCATGCTTGCACTGCCAGTGCTTTATGTTTTATTACTCTAGAGAAAGCTGCTGTTATGAGGACTGTCCATGAATGGCTCCTTTCTCCAGCAGTAACCTCCCTTTGCGTATGACGCTTAGTCAGCTTTCAGTAGCTGCTGCAGCAGTTGTGTATGAAATGTCATTTGAGACATGTGGAAGACTACAGCTTTAAGATGCAAGGAAAGATTTACTTGAGTTAAAAATAAAAACAGAAAACCACAAGTTATTTGCAGAATCTTCACCTTTACTCCCCCAAGATGCTTCTTTTCCCCTCTCCAACAAAAATGCATCAAAATTAAGTTAGACTGAAAATCCTTGTGCTCCAAATGTTGCAGAAACATATAACTGTAATGAAAACATTGACAGTTTTACATAGAAAGAGACAGTAACACAATTAACCTTAAAAAGTTTGTACGAATCTCAAAATAAGCATCTGATTCATACTTACTCAGTTATGTTGTAATACTATCCTTACCCTGTCTAAAAATGAAGCGCAGGCCACTGGGGATGTGGAGCAAGTAGTGTTCAAATGCTCCTTGGGACTTTTTTGGTCTTTTTTGGACTTTTCTGTTGGTCTGAAAGAACTTTTAAAGATGATCCAGTTACAAAAACTGGATTTTTCTCATTCTTGCACCATTTGCTAAGCACAAAACAAGCCTTCTCATTCGTTATGAAGAATCTTGTCTTGACTAGTGTAAATCCATAATGAAGCTGGAGCAGCGCTGGGAAATTGCCTGGCATGTGTTTGTAAGGATCTTAACGGTAAAGCAAATTTTATTTGAGACACATCCTGAATGCATCATGATTTGAGGAAGCCCAGTTAACAATTCATCTGAAACACTTCTAAGCAAGTATTCCTCACGTGACTGACACAGCGAGAAACAGCGCTTCCAGAGCACATGTACAGGCTTGTTTACTACCTGGTTAGGGTATGATCTGTTCAGATAGCTGCAGTGCTTTTCCTAGAAGCAGTATAAGCTACACCAAAATCAAACCTGGACAATGTGTCAGCCATACACACCTGATCGTACCGATCTGCCTACGTTGTAAGGGAGCCCACAAAAGTGTAATAAAATGCCTCCTGATTTTCTATTCCCTATAACGTGCTGAACAAACCCGCTGAGATTAAATGCACTGCTCGAAATCTCAGTCCAAATGGAAAAGCCTGACTGGAATATAAACTTCACACACAATGCACACCTTAAGAGACCAAACAAACAAAAAAACACCCTCCAAGAGAATGTTTTTATATTCTAGCTGTGGTACTGACTCAGCAGCCAACAAAAATAACTACAAGGTATATCATTAGCAGCAGCATTAGATTAACTTGTTTCAACTAATGTTTAAAGTACTCTTCTTCAATCTGGGCATCCCTCATTTTTTACATGGAAGTACAGGATAATCTAAAACAAAAGGAAGGCTCATGAGGCTTGCATCTTCTTGTTTGCCATTTGTAAAATACTGGGAAATAATCCACAGGTTTCATTACACTCAAGCCTCAGTATTGAGGATATGAGAAAGCACACCTGGGAGATTCTGCCCTGGGCTAGTCCTGCCCTTGTCCTGAAGTGCCTAGCTGAGCCCCCTGGCAGCAGGATCAGACACATTTGTCACTTTGTGTGTGCCTGGCATTTAAATTGCGCCAGGTTTCAATCTTAAAGGAGAAATCCCACCTCTAACTGCTCTCTTGCTGGAAAGCACAGAAGAGAAAGTAATAGCATGAGCTGAGATTCCTTTCCAACAGCTAACCTCAGCTAACCCCATACACAAAAGGAAAAGGTAAGATACTACAAAGAAAGCAAACACCTTTCTAGGTGTGGAACTTGTAATCCTCTTCCTCTCCTGAGAGGTGAGCTTTTATTTCTTCCACTTTCTGCAACTTTCTCTGCTTAATATTCTGCTCACCTAAGTTAATTTATAAGGAAAAGACAACAGAGGACTTCGGCCCCTACTTTGATAAATGCAGTCCAAAATTTAGCTGCAATTATTGTGTTTTGTTATCACCTTTCCTCCAAAAGCTTTTCAGTTTTATGATCTTTCCTGGGCAGGGGCTGAATTAAGTTATTTTTAGTCCCAGTGGGAGTAAGTAAAGATAGCTGCACGGCTTCACTGTGGAGGGGACTGGCGAAGGGCTTTCTGCCAGCAGCCCCCTACAAGCTGCCGGCTGCTCCAGCCTTGCCTTCACACTGCCTGATGGTGCCCCTGTGCTCAGAGGCCATGCCCACTGCATGGAACTTGTGCCACAGAGACTGGGCATAAAAATCACGATATGTACATACGGATGTATCCAGATATATGAAATCCTTTTTCTAACCCTAACAATTTCCTCCAGCATGAGAAAAGCAGAAGCCAGATTTAGGGTCGATTTGTTCAGATCTGAGAGCCGCAGCAGCTGCACTTTCTAAGACCCCCCTCAAGAAGCTCCTTAAGGCGAGCTGTCGGGGTGGCTCCGCTGCCAAGCGCTCCCCGGCCCCTCCGAGCCCGCCAGCCCCAGCGCCCCGCCGGGCACGCAGCCGGGCTCCGACCCCGGCCCGAACCCCGGCAGCAGCGGCGGGCCGGGAGGAGCTTCAGGGCTCTGCCCCTGCCGGGAAACAGCCGGGGAGGAGCGGGGCAGCGGGCCGGGCCGGGCCGGGCCGTGCTGTGCTGGGCTGGGCTGTGCCGGGCCCGGCTCCTCGCCGGCCCCTGGGGGCTGCGCGGCCGGGGGGGGCCGTGGGGGGCGCTGGGGCCGCCGCTCACCTTCATCCGCTTGCCCTGGATCTCCAGGCTCTTCATGGTGAAGTCCACGCCGATGGTGCTGCCCTGGCGCTCGGCGAAGGCCCCGGTTTTGAAGCGCTGCACCAGGCAGGTCTTGCCCACGCTGGCGTCCCCGATGAGCACCAGCTTGAAGAGGAAGTCGTAGCCCTCCTCCGGGTCGGCCCCGCCGCCGCCACCGGGCCCCGCGGGCGCCGCCGGCCCGGGCATGGCGCCGCCGCCCCCGGCCCTGCCGCCCGCCGCCCGCCCCGCCGCGCTCTGCGCCGAGCCGCCGCCCCCCGCCGGGCCGAGCCGGGGCCCGGGGCCCGCCCCCCGCCGCCTCCCCTCCGCCTCCGCCCGCCCCCCGCGGGCCCTCCCCCGGGAGCCCCGCGGGCCGGGCCGGCCCTCGCTGGTGGCGGCACAATGCCCGCGGGGCGCGGCCCTGCCGCGGGGCCGCTCCTCCTCCTCCTCCTCCTCCTCCTCCTCCTCCTCGCCGCCGGCCCCGGGTGTGCGGTCGGTGTTACCCCCGGCGGAGCGGCGCTGTCCCGATCGGTGCTGGCCGCGGTGCGTTGCCCCCGCCGACACGCCGCAGTGAGCAGGTGCAGGGGCACCGCGCAGCCACCCAGGAGGTGCAGCTCGCTCCTCTCGCTGGGCTGTTCATTTTTAGGTCTGAGGCAGGGTGTGGTTTGTTTCCAGAGTCGCAGCCCAAGGCTCAGGGCTATGTTTTTTCAGCCTGGCGAGGTGCTGCGCTGCTCTGACACAGCGGCGTTGTCGGCGTGGTGCTACGTGTCCTGCATCGGGCAGTGTGCGTGTGCTAACATTGCACCACAGCACGGTGTGTGTGTTGGCAGAAATGTATCAGCAGTCCGGGATTGTGCTTTAACCTCTGCCTACGTAATCTGCAGAACGAGCTGCTCTTTAATAGATACTCGTTCAGATTACGTGCTGAGTCAAGATGCTAATAAAAATCGGCTTTACTAATAAATACTTTGACACAGCACGTCTTGCCAGTGTGCTCTTTGTAAAAGTGATTTGCTAATTTCCATCCTCAGTATGAAACGACAAAACTGTGAAATGGAACAATTGAATAATGGCATTTCTGAAAGCAAGAGTTAAATTTTCCCATAGGTAGCTGTGCAGGAGGAGGACTGGCTTTGTGACTGAGCCAGCACAGGCCAACCAGACCAGCTTGTTTTTGAATTATGATGAATCAGTGGATTTGGGGGTGGGTTTGTTATGTTTCCTATTCATGTCTCTCTATATATTTTTGGTGATCCATGGTAACTTTCCAGCAAGAGCAGACTCATGAGTACTTGGGCTGGGAAAATGGTTGTTTCTGGTAGTCTGAAACTGTGAATTATGCCGGCCGCTGAATTCTAGAAGGAATGATGAACCAGGACAGAAAGTGTTAAAGAGGAAATAAGATCGCTGAGCATATGCTGTCATGCTAATAAGCACTTTCAAAGTTTTCGGTTTCTGAGCCAAGCACATCAGAGAACTTAGATTATTTAGGAGAAAACAGTTCTAGAGATGTTAGTCTTAATACTTAGAATTAACTGCATGGTCTCATTTTAGTGGAAAGATAAAGGTACTACTTCCATGAAGATAGTTACACAACCAGGTATTCCGCTATCCTTGCTGTAAATCATTACATCTTCTTTGCATTAATGGTCATTGTTGCTTCTTATCTTCATTAGCTTTTAAAGCAATTAAAACAAGGAATTCCTCAAATGTAATGTGCTGACTTATGTTTTCTGTTGCTACACGTGTGAGGGATCTTTCATTCCTTCAAGTTGTGAAAACTGCATAGGATGGTTTGAATGCTGAAATGCTGGTCTTTGGCTAGTTCCCAGACTCCGCTGGGGATCAACACCTGTTTCATGGAAAGCTAAGGAAAACCAGCATGGGTTTGAGTCCATTTCTCTTTATCTGCCTGTACTTGAGTCATCCATCAGACAAGAGCAATGACAGAAAACAGTATCAGAACATGGCAGAAGGACCCCTGTACTTTTCATAGCTAATCCCTCAGCTAATTCAGTCCAACAAGAAGTTCGATTTTTCAGGTCTAATAAAGAGGTTGGTCTGCAAAACCTTTGCTGTAGGTGTAAGCTTGCTTGCAATTTCCACATTTGATAGCGGAATTCAGTTGGTGAGACTGTATAATATTTCAAAGCAGCTGCTTGAGATTTGAAGTTACAAAACAAACTATTTTCTGACCATCTAAATGAATCTGTATGGTGACCTTATATCAAACACTGGGTAGGGGTAGGGGGAACAGGGATGAGTCCTAAAATCTGACCCAGTCTTCTGCAGCACAGTTTGAAGGAGCAGCAGGGAAGGGTTCAAAGAGCATTGTGTAACTATGCAATGACTTACTGAGTTTACAGACTCCTGTAATTCTAGAAAGTAGCAAGCATTCATTCTTAATACCTTCCAGTAGGGATACATAACAATTGCCAAAATTGCTCATGAAAACCAAGATAACTGGAATTATAGCTTTGGTTGGTATGTTGTTTATACTTTGTTCCAAGATAAACTTTTCAATGGAGTTCAACCTTTCCTTCTTGCATTTATAATGGAGGGACATTGCTTATGTGTTAACACTCCTTAGGAGGTACCAACTTCGGTTGGTCAGGCTTTGGTTAAAAGAATGTTTGAGCATCTCTCTTTCTTGGCAGCTTTATAGCCAGCCAATTTTATAGCTGAGTCAGCATGGATGGATTGATTTCTTGAAGACATGAGAAGCAATGAAATATTGTACTTTCTGGTATAAGCAGTATCTGCTAAATAGTTACATATTTAATTTTATAATAATAGACATAATAAATATAGGTTATGAAATAAAAACTACTTGTTGCTTTCTTAAAGCCAAAAACTCCTGTTCCCATACTCACCATTGCCTGACATGGCCCCATACTTTTGATGCATACATTTTGATTGTTCATATTAAATCATACATATTTTGTTACTCTTGAGCATATTTTCTTTATGAGGCCAAACTTCCTCTTCCCGTCTTGTAATAATTTTGTTACTGATATTACTTAAGATGAAATACTTTATTCTTTCAAACTTTATTGGTGTTTATAATCATGTGGGCTCTGGCTACGCACTTCTAGACAGTGTTTCAGGTTATCTCGGAGGTGTCTCAGATTTTGATTTACAGGTAGGGTTTTCTGAGTCTTCTGAGCAATGGGGCCTACAGCATTATGGGCTGTGTTCTTATACAAAAATGGATTGTTTTGAATCTTAGCCAGAAGAATTTTGTGATAATATACTGTTTAGTAATTTAGTAATTCAGTCTAAAATGAAGGAGATGCTAAATTAAACATATTTGTATCCAGAACTACTTCTCCTCCTTTTTTTTTTTTTTTTTTTTTTTTCCTTAAGTTTAGCAGTTTCTGGTGTTTGCCAGTTAAAATGTCAGTAGAATTACTTTTATTTAGTTTATTTTGTTAATGTTCTAAAGCCTTCCCCCCCCAAAAAAAAGAAAAATTTCCCCCCCAAAAAAAGAAAAATCTAGGAATGTTTTTAGACTGTTTAATATTAGCAAGAGAGACAAAATTTTGTTCTCTCTGTAATAGGATGGAGACCTTTTGATTTATTTGCAGAGGGACAAAACAAATGGTTATCTCGAGGACCGTCACTAGTCAGATATTCCTGCTATATGTGACAACCTCTGATTTTCCAAATCTGTGCCTGTATTGTAGGAGAAATAATTAGGGAACAGCATAGAGATAGACATCTCTTATGATTAATTGGGAAGCCCCACAGCTGAAGAATGTATTTCTCCTGGAGAGTCCTTTTGCCACACTACCATTTGTCCCCCAAAACTGCAGTGGTTCCAGCAGCAGGAAGACTCCTGGAGTCTTGAAAAATGATGCCTCATAGGCCTCATATCGGTAGTGGCCCATTCTAGAAGAAATTTTGCTTCTGCCTGGTGTTCTCTTACTGTAGTGGCAGCGAAACTGCCAAGTTGTAAGGAAGTTGCTAACCAACAAACAGGAAAGAGTTTGAGGTCTGAAACTCCTCCAGCCAAGGCTTTTTGATGTTCTCCTTGCAAGCCTGCAGAGCCTAACCTTGCTCTGAGAACAGGCTCCGTGTCTCCATGTGTGATTCCTAGCGATGAAGTAACTTCTGCTATGCAGCTGCTAGGCAGAGCGTACAACTTTGTCATATGTGATATGCTTGGCACCCAAAGCGAGCGTTGAATTTGCAATCAACCAAGCTTCAGAACAAGCTAGTGATAACAACATTTGATTGCCTTCACATGGTTTTTGAAGTTACTTGTTATGAGTATTGGAAGCCATAAGCTATTTCCAGTTCCTTTTGGGTGACTCAGTTGTCGAGAGTGGATTCATTGTCATTTGAAATACTGTATTCATGTACATAGCTTCATCGTCTGTACGAATGCAATGCAAATTCTCCTCCTCTTTCTTTCCAAAGGCTTTTATCAATCTTAGTCACCCATCCGTTTCCTTGTCTGTATTCAGAGTGTAAAAGAAGACTTGACATTTCAGAAACCACGCCAATTAATAGAAGAGATTTCTTAAAACACAGCTGTTAATCACAGTTTCAACCACCAAAGAGGTGCTGATGAAACTAAAAACTTTGGTTCCTCTCAGTCAGGTCCATTTGGCAAATCATCACAGAGCAGTCCCCTGATTGCTGCTATCTTTGCGTGGTTCCTTGAGTCATTCGTTTACCTGTTAGCATCTTGCCATTGTAGACTGGAGATGTATATTCAGGAATGCAGGGTAAGGGGAATAGGTGAAATCCCTTTGAACAGCGTGTGCTCTAACTAGTATTCCTCTTTTGTGTTCCGACCACAGCCAGAATCCTATAGAGCAGCTGCGTGCACATGTGCGTGGCTTTAGCAGTTGGCCTGTGGCTGCACACTCACAAAATGTTGCTTGAAGTGCTGAAGACTCAGTTAAGAACCACCTGGAAATCTGCACGGTTTGCTGACTTTTATTCTTTTAAGTGAGATTAATATAGTACCTGTAAGCATCATAAAAGCAGTTTTCTTGCAGTATCTGTACGTCTGTCTGAGATTTATCACAAGAGCTGGATTTCTTGGTAGTGGGTAGCTTTTCCTTTCCCTGGTACACGTTGCTGAGTGAGGTGGGGTGATTCTGCCATACATCCCTTAGGTAAAGATCTTCACAGTTCCTGAGTTGTTTTTCCAGAACTGATGCATTCAATTTAGAAACTAGTTTTATGAAAACTGCCCTCCTTGTATTTATTTTGTGTATTTGTTAACTGAATGTCATTGCTCCTCTTCTACTTAGCGATCT